CCCCCCACCCTACATTACATCGTCATCATTGTCAGGATTCCCACCAGTTACCCTTCAATCATCATCCCCGCCACTACCACCATCATTGATATTGGGCATCGCCTGGGTATCTGAACAATGTCGACACGTGCTGTAACCAGCCAACAACATCGCTCTGGGAACTTTCGAGATCTCCTCACCCACTGCACCTCCGCCTCCTCCGTAGGAAGTTTTGGCCAGTCTGTTATTGTGAGACCGAGCTCTGTACATGTCTGAGTTAGACGAACCAGCAGCAGAGGACGCTGCTGAGTATGACCGAGAGAGCGCTGCTGAACATGATGAGTGCGAGTTTGATGTATTGCTTCGTGTAGATCTGGCCCAGCACTGTGCGGAGCTGTCCCACATGCTAATCGACGACATAGGTGAGCACAGGCCCGACCACGATGACATCAGCTCGACGATTGGTCAGTTCGATGGTGTTGCGCCTCCTCCTGCGCACAGTCCAGAGCAACCACTCCCCGTGGCGAGCAGGAGAGGCAGACCACCGACACTAGCGGCAACCCCATCAGACCACACGCTATCCAAACAATTCTTTCAACCGACGGCGCCATCAAATGTGCTGATATTGAACATTGTATTGTTCGAACGCATGTTCCGTGTGTCGAATGTTCCCCACTGGACATTGTCAAACTGAAGTATGTGAGATACGTATGATGAGCTCCCATCTTGAGCAATGCGTGGCATTAGCAATGCATCCAGGACTCAAGATGTGTAACCGAGCTGCGAACGTTGCCATCCGATGGTTGAGAATTGATATTCCTAACTGTACCTGCCAGGCAGGCAATGTATTGAAAGATTTCGGAATTGCTAAGACGACGTATTACAGACGTCGCGCCTTGCTGGCACCGGTCCCATTCGTCCTGGACGCGTCCAGCCGCGCGACCTTCGATCGACATGCTGCCCGTTCCCCAATGGTTCGGCCGCTTCATGCGTGTGGGCTAGACTTGTATGATGAAACGCCGATGCCGATTCTTCTTAGAGATAAGATCGAGGAGCTGCAGGATGCAGCTATGCTTTCAGATGTCGTTCGAGGCGCGCGGTCGTCCTGGTCACAAGGTGTGCTCCATTTCTCCGAGTCAGGCTCAGCGAAGCTGTTTCGAGTAGAGACCCATGGGGGGGGGGGGGGGCGCTGGTGTCAGTGACGCTGCATGGAGCTGAAAAGGTGTGTTTCTTCCTGGGTCGTGGACTTTCTAATTTGCAGTGCCTTGACAGGTCTACTGGAGCGACCGCGCTGCAAGGAGCCAAACAAGTATGGACAACGTCTGGCCAAGTCGAATCCTACGGCGAGCGCGGCAGAGGCCCGTGCACAGACAGGGGGGGGGGGGGGCAAATATAGAGCTTGTGAGAGAGAGAGAGATGCGATTGCGAGACAGGCCAGATTGGCAACACATTTACCCCGACTGTCACGCGCACCTAGTGGCACTCGTGTTCGGCAGGAGTTCCTTGTATTTTGAGCACCTGGTGACAAGCGCGATCACGGTTGGAGGTGTACCCGTGGAGCCTGATCAACCATCTGTCTGCGTCAGGCTGGAGGCAGGCGGCGGCGGAGGAGGGAGGGTGATGACTAGTCAGAAGGGTCAGATCTTGTTGAACTTCTGCGGTTCGGAACGCGTTGCACGCCTGATGGGGGGGGGTCAAGTCGGGGACCTCCCCAGGGGTGCTGCTAGAAGGCAAGTCGACTGTGCAATTCGAGACACGGTCTTGTGTTGCGTGGTTCGCGGGGGGGCTTTGATTTGCGCCTCGCTGAGGTTGAGTATAATATCAGGCTGGCTTTTAGTACAGCGGTGGCTTGCATCTCCTGCGGTCGAGGGAGGTGGCCCCGCAACTCTGCTGACCTGTTATCACTGTAGCACGGGCTTGGTGTGGCTGAGGGTTCTGTGGAGGGGCGTCGGGAGATGGGCAAGCTGAGCCCAAGAGGGCTCTGCATTTCGAGGGTGTCGACGAAGTGGGCCTTGCGCGCAGCTCTGAGGCCGCTGGAGTAGACGGGGCCCCCGCGTGTGCATGTAGATGCACACGCATGTGTGTGCGAATGTGTGCATGCGTTTCGGCATCTTTTGAAATAACAATCAGGATAAGGTTCAGTACCTAATGGTTCGCAAATGGACATGGTTGCATGCGGGGTGCGAGCGCGTGCGCGCATGCATATGCCTGTGCACAGGCACACACACATGCGCACGAACGTGCACGCGCACATATTTCATTTCGACAGCAGGCATGATAAAACAAACACGCTCACACATTACGACATGTAAGCCATGCGAATCATCAACAAACGCACTTTCACATATCAGCACGTATGTAGTTTACCATCTATCTACAATCAACGATATAATATAGTTACATACGCATATACACATACATGTAGGTGCATCCATATACATACACGTATACACATATACATACATACATACACATCTATATATACACATATATGTTTGTATGCGTATATGTATATATATATACACACACATATATATATATATATATATATATATATTATACAGAGTGTCCACAACCTGCACCCACTAGACCAGCCAAATAGCATGTGCAACCCACGCCGTCAATGCGTTGTTGGGGGGTGGGGGAGATCAAGGGGCGGGGACCTTGCCGTGCTGGGCAGGCTGGGCGAAATACGGGGCGCAGAAACACGCATACATACAAGTTAGCTCCTGCTCCTGCTCCTGTTCCTCCTCCTACGCGTTCTTTTCTTCCTTGGCCAAGTCGCGCACACGAGGTCACACCCCGGCCCCATACACGTTTGAACTCTGTGCCATCTAGCTCACTGCATCCAACCATTGCGCCCCTCATGGGGCTGCCGCGCGCCGGCCCTTCGAGCAGGGCACGCCTCGCACTGCGGCCGCCTCGCAACAGGGTAGTGCGACGGTGTGCGTCTACCAAGAAAACTGGGTGCAAGAAAGGAAGCGTGAGCACATGCGGATCGACTACAGCAGGGGCGCTGCGCTCGCGCGGGAATCCCACCAGCCCTTTCGGGCGTGGGTGGTTTAGCGGGCTCCTCCTCCTCCTCCTCCTCCTCCTCCTCCTCCTCCTCCTCCCCAATCCCCCTTCCCCCCCTTTGGGGAGGGGTTTCCCCCTCCCCCTCCCCCCTGCACCCCCTGGACCTGGACACGGGGCGCCCCGCGGGTCGTTGGGGCGTCCGAGATGGCCCCAGCGAGGAGGCCAACGTCATGGACTCTGCGCAGGTGTTGGGCCAATGTTGGTATCCCGGGGGGGGACCTAATTCAATACATCCCCCCCTTCTTCAATACCCCCCCCCTCTTCTTTGATCGATCACTTCCAGGATGGCCCCCGAGGCTCCCAAGAGTGCCCCAAGAGGGCGCCACGAGGTGACCAGGAGGCCCCAAGAGGCCCCAACGAGGCCCCCAATAGGCTCCCCAGAGATCCTCAAGAGGCCCCAAGAGGCCCCCCCGAGGCACCACAGACGCTTCAAGAGGCCCCCGTGTCCGCTAAGAGGCCCCCACGACTCAACAACATGCCTACAATAATATCTCCAGGGACATCCGAAGAGACTCCGAGAAGCATCCTGGCTTCTGTTCGCACTCCTCCTCTTCATCTTCCTCATCCGCGTCATCCTACTGCTCCCTCCTCCCTCCTCCCTCCTCCCCCTCCCCCTCCTCCTTCTCCTTCTCCTGCTCCTCGTCGTCCTCCTCCTCTTCCTCGTTCTTTTTCTTCTTCTCCTCCTCCTCCTCCTCCTGTAGTTCCTCCTCCTCCTCCTCTAGTTTCTCCTCCACACTTCCCCCTCTTGAGCAATGGCAATTTGCTGGATGGGGCTACGCAGGCGTCGAAAATTCCAAGCTCACCAGATCAACCAGATCTACGGTGTTCGCCAGCGGCGGACAAGCGGAATCCCCAACAAATTGCAAGGGCAGCCAAGACAACGGTCCTGCTCGTGACTAGTCGAACGAGTGACTGCAGGCGGACTCGATTGGACAGGATACGCGAGAGGACACAAGACCCTTCCGAGGGCCACATTGCCACAGGAATGTAGGAAGCATGGGGCGCGAGACACAGGACACAAGGGTACCCTTGATTTGGCAGGGTCGCCCTACAAATCTGGGCCGACCTTATCGGCAACGCGACTGCCGATCGCCGGTGTTACCAGGACAGCCGGGCCAATCGAGGGCCAGGGCTGGTGGCGAACCACGGAAGTCCGAGACTGCTACGGTGAAGGGCATTTTTGTGTAACTCTTCGCAGGCGCACGGGCGCCCTTGTCAAACTCAAGCATGCATGGCGCGGGAGGGGAAGGAGGGAGGGAGGGAGGGAGGGAGGGGCACCCCGGAGCAAGCCACTCAAGGCCCTGGCTCGCCCTCCTGGGGCCCACTGTCCCCGCGCACTGCAGCCGCGCACGCCGCGGGCCTCACGGCCGCGGTCCCGCGCCGCCTCGAGGGACCCAAAGCCGCAGGCCCTAGCGACGCTCTCCAGGGCATTTTTTTTATCCTATCACCCTGGGGCTTATCATGCACAGACAAATTCGATGCCGTCTTACGGCCCCGCAAACAGTGCTTGCGCGAGCCCGCAGCCCGCCAGGACCAGACCCCGAAGCGCGGCACCATCACACCGCGCTGAGGCCGACTACAGGCCTGGGGTCCACCAACCTGGCCGCTCTGGCGGCCCTGCCTCGCTCCTGAGCTTCAGCAGCGCTGGCAAAGCCGAAGGAGTCCAGGGCTCCCTCGAGCCCTGGGCGAAACAGCCTCCCTGGGGCAGGCGGGGCGGGCGCCCGTTCCCGCCCCTCCGGGGGCTCCACGCTCGCAAAGCGAAAGCGGTGTCCGCCGCCTACTGCTGGATCTGCGCCTCGCGCCTCCGCTGCCGCCCCTGCCTGGCCCACGCCCTCCGCGGGGAGCCAGGCCCGAACGTGTCGCGGAGCCAGAGGCGCCCAGCTTCTAGCTCGGAGGCTGAGGGAGCTGGAGGAGCGTCGTCTCCGCCGTCGCCCTGCCAGCCCGGCCTCCGAATGTCACGGTCGACCGTGAGGGCCACGGTTCCCTCGAAGACGTGGCGGCGCAGTGCCAAGAGCCGCTTGGGCCCACGCGCGGGTTCCTGGCGCGCCACCGCCTCCGAGCCGTGGAGCGCACAGCCGCCACCGACGCCGCCCTCGCCGTCCTCCACATCGACCCCCCCGCCGCCAGAGCAGGAGCAGGGACCCGAGGGAGGCGAAGTGAGGAGGGCGTCGTCGTCCAGGCTCCTGCCTCCGTTGCGCTGGGGCCCAGCCGCCTCCGCGCCGTCGCCCGTGCCGAAGTGCGGGGAGAGGTCGAAGCCGCCGTGCGCCACGGCATCCGAAGCCAGAGCACTGCTTCCGTCCTGGTTGCGGGAGCCGCCCACCTGCATGCTGAGCTCGCCGTCGATGTCGCCAGCGGCCATCTCGCTGCCACCGCTGAGGACGGCAGCCTCGTTGGCCAGCAAGTACGCCGCGACGATCGAGGGGTCCACGAAAGCAGCAGGAGAGGAGGTGCAGGCAGTGCTGCACGCCGCACCAGGATCAGGGAGGCGATGAGGATGAACAGCACCACCTTCAGAAGGCCGAGGGGCAGGGTGCTCGCCGAAGCCGTCGCTGCTAGGGCTGCGCGCCGCGCTGCCGTCGCCGCCGCCGCCGCCGAGGCCGAGCAAGCCGTCGTCCGATACGTGAACTTCCAGCACCACCTGCCTGTGCTTGTCGAGCCCCATGGGCGCAGCCGCCACGGGAGCCTTCTGCGCCTCCTCGCTGTCGAAGTGGGCGCCGTGCGAGGCGCCGCCGACGCCGACTGCGCCGCAGTCCTCGACGCTCCACTTCCACCAGCGCGGGCCCGAGGCCAAGGGCAGCGGCCTCGCCTCTGGAGCCCGCCTCGCGCGCTCGGCCAGCGCGAAGATGGCGCCAGGCGGCGCGCTGCGCCCGCGGTAGGCCCGAGCGACCGTCCAATCGCTCGGGGCCGCCTCGCAGGCGGCACGCGCCTCTGGCTGGCGGCGCGGCGGGGCAAGCGCGCCGCCTCGAAGAGGGGGGCGCCGCGCCTCCGACCGCTGCCGCACATGGGAGGCTGCAGCAGCAGAGCGAGGTAGAGGAAGAGCAGCCCGTGCGCGAACACCAGCGCCGCGGCCGCGACCGTGCCGAGCTTGCCCTCCGAGGTGCACCCGCCCCGCCTTCGCAGACCTCTGCAGGCGATCGAGGGAGGACTGCCGCATCATCGAAATGCTAGCGGCCCTCCTTGCTGCGCAGTGGAGCCCAGCGTTGCGCCGAGAACGGTGCAGCGGACCCACACCAGCCACCGCACGGCTGCCGCTGCCCCACCGTTCGCCTGCCTGAGCCCGGGTAGGCTCGTCCGCGGCCGTGCCAACACCGTCGCCTGCACCCTGTAGCACGCCGCTGAGGGGCATGCTCTGGGCGTCGTCGACTCGGTGAGCGCTGGCGGCCGCCGCTGCCTGCCCGCCCCCCTGCTCACCTTCGCCCGCCCCCGCAAGCCGCAAGGGCCCAGGAGGCGGCCGAGGGGCCGAAGAGGTGTCGGCCGCCGCCCGCTGCGGGCCTGCCAGCACCTCCAGGAGGACGGGGACCGCCAGCGCCAGCCTCTCGGAGACCTCGCGGTGGAGCGCCTCGCTAGGAAGCTGGGCTGAGCCTTGGGCCGCCAGCGCCAGCGCCTGGGCCGCCGCCGCCTCGTGGGCGACCCGCAGGGCCGCGAGTTCCGCAGTTCCGCCTCGAGGACTGCGACGCGCCCCAGCGCCGCCCGCAGCTTGCCCTGGTCGGCCGCACGCGCAGCGGCCCGTCGGGCACGTCGCGCTGGCCAGAGCGAAGCCGCAGCCCAGCCGTGCTGAGGCGGCTCGGCTGCCGTGCAGGCAGCTCGGCCGCCGCCCGCAGCCATCCCCCAAGCAGTCGATCTCTGCGGCCACCCGCGGGGCCCAAAACGAGAGAGCGCGCAAATGGGACCGGCTTGCGCCAAAATGGCTACGGACTCTCCAGGGCATTTTTTTTGTTCTATCACCCTGGGGCTTGTCATGCACAGCCAAATTCGACAGCCGACTTACGGCCCCGCAAACAGCGCTTGCACGGGCCCGCAGCCGACCAGGCCCAGACCCCGAAGCGCGACCGTCACTCCGCGCTCCGCCCGACCACAGGCCTGGGGTCCGACGCACTGGCCGCTCGGGAAGCCCTGCCTCGCTCCTGAGCCTCAGCAGCGCTGGCAAAGCCAAAGGAGCCCAGGGCTCCCTCGAGCCCTGGGCGGATCAGCCTCCCCAGGGCAGGCGGGGCGGGTGCCCGATCCCGCAGCACTGGGGGCTCCGCGGCGGGGGCTCTAGAGCCTGCAGTGGCCACAGGGTCCTCCACGGCGTCTGGGCCCGCGACCGTGCCGAGCGCCTCGGCCCACCTGGCACGGGTGGCCGCTGTGGGCCGGGCCAGCTGGTCGATCGGCTGCTTGGATTTTCCAGGCAGGATCGGCTTCGCGAAATCATTTCTCGCCTGCGCCCTGGAGCCCTTTTTGGCCCTGGGGTCGTCAGCGCTCTGGGCCCCGACACAGGCTTTGGCTAGGCCCCTGTGGCAGTACTGGGGTTTCCGACAGTGCATCCAGCACACCACACAAACCAAAAACTCGGGGCCATCCCCGCCCGAAACTCGGGATTCACGCAGACTGTGTCCATTGACATCCCAGACTCCCGTCTCGACAGGGACGTCCTGGGGCAGGACCGCACTCGAATTACACAAGACCGAGTCCCCTGAACTCGGCCCGACGGGGCTCGCCCTCAGGGTCCCTGGTGTCCTCCCCTGCCCAGCAGGACCCGAGGGGGCACTCCGAGGCCTGGCCGCGCCCCACACGGGGAAGAAGGGGAGAGACTGCGACACTGCCGACAGGGGCGGGCCCTGTGCGCCCGCGGCCGAGGTCGCTGCCTGCTCTTCCTTCTCGGCGCGGCGGCGCTGGACAGCACGAAGCAAGGCCGCCGACGCGCTCGACGCATCAGCTGCGGATTCACTGGGCCCTGCCTGCCCCTCACATGATCCTTTCCTCTTGCGGGCCTGCTTGTCTACCTGGCCCTGGGCCTGGTCTCCTTGGCAAGCCGCCGCTGCCGTCACGAGCCCCGCTGCCGCCCCAAGGGCCGCCAGACCGCCAGGGGCGCGGGCAGCCGAGTTCTCGGCCTCCAGCAGCTGCTCCCAGTCAGGCGACGGGGCGAATGGGTCCAGGTCCACGAGGTCCAGGGAGGTGAGCGGCCAGGAATCCCTGTGCCCCGACTCAGTGATGTGCACTTCAAGGTCCGCCGCGCATCTGGCCACCTCCTTCGCTCTAGCTAGGCAGCCCTCGAGCATCAGGGCGTCCTGCTCCGCAATGGCGTGGAAGGCCGCACCTTCCTTTGCCCTGGTGTCGGCTCTCCTGTTGCCCACGAGCTCGAAAAGGGTGAGCTCCCCGTCCGGCACCGCGGCCTCCGAGCGGTGGGCGGGCACATGGCGAATGGTGACTCCCTCCGCCGCATCCCCCACCCTGGCCCAAACATGGGCGTGCAGGGAGCTGGGGCCGCAGGCCTTGGCCAGGTTGGAAGCAGCCTTCACCGTGCTCAAGCAGTCACTGAGCAGCGTGTAGTTCCCAATGATGTCAGCGAGTCCGATGGCTGCTGCGTAGTCTTCTCCTGCCTTGGCCGTCTGCGACGGGAGGTCGTTGGGGGGCACGGCGCCCCACGCCTCGGCGATGAGCCTCCCATCTGGCCCATAGACGATGACCGCCCAGCCAGCGCTCCTGACGTGCGGGAAGTCCCCGTTCAAGCACGAGCCGTCGGTGGAGACAAAGGACCCGTCGGGCACCGCCAGTACGCCGTCCCCCCATCCGCAGGAGCGTCTTGCCCAGCTGTCGTTCCAGGCTGGCCTGGCCACTAGGAGACTGATGTCCACGAAGAGCCCCTGACCGAAGAGCTCGTCGAACGGAGGCCCCATGCGGTGGGCCTGCACAGCTGCCCGTCTCACCTGGCTCGGGCAGTAGTCCCTCCTCCAGGCCTCCCAGGCTGGACACTCGTGGTGCCTGTGGTGCATCGTCCCTGGGGGTGTCCCGCAGAGCCTGCAAAGCGGGTCGATCTCTCTCCCATGCCTCGCCAGCCGCGCCTGGGGCCAGCTGGCCAGCGACGCCAAGCGTCGCAAACAGCCTTTGTGGTGGGCTGACCAGGCAACCGACTCCTTGGCCCCGAGGAGCTGGTTGATCGGCGTCCACCAAGGCGGCAGCCTCCACTGCCAGCAGGACTCGGGCCTGCTGACGAACTCCTCGAGCGACGCCGCCTGACGCGTGTCCTCTTTGACCCTGGCGGCGAGGAAGGCAGGCGAGAACCTCTTGACATCGAACCCGTAGCCCTCCCTGTCGGTCAGCACGCGTCCACCATCGCTGAGGCCCCAGCCGACTCTCCCGAGCGTGAGCACCAGCGCCGAGACGGGGTCCCGCACAGCGGCCCACGGCCTCTGCATGGAGGCCAGGCGCCTGCTGTCCCTGAGGCAGGCCTGCACGGCGGCTGGAGAGGCCTGTCCTGACCAGCTCATGGCCACGAAAGCCTGGACCGCTAGGCCCGTCGCGATCACCAGCGGATCCTGCCTCCAGCCCTGGGGCGCACACTGCAGGCAGAAGGTCAACGCGGCGCCCGTTGGCAAGTTGCAGGCCGCTTTCGCCGCAGCGATCCTTAGCGCCCTCATGCGACCTGGCGGAATCCCGTTGATGGCCGAGCCCCACAGAGCCTTGGCAGCGGGGCCTGCCCTCTGGATCTTGGCCTGCCTCATCCCCGAGCCGAAGATCCTGGTGATATTGTTGCCCTGCCGCAGCGCCGCCAGCTCCCTGGCCACTTGCGTCCCGACCCTGCGGTGGCCTCCCGCCGTCGCATCTCCTCCAAGGTCGCGGTGTCCAGCGACGAAGGCCTCGTCGGCGAGGACCCAGTCGGCGTGCTGCTGCAGCTCTCTCCTCAACTTCACCGAGGAGGCCAGTGCCTTGGTCTTGCCCCAGTTGATGGGGAGCCTCTTCTCGCCGAGCATGGTGGCGACTCCCTTCGCGAACCTGGAGGTCGTATACCATGATCCTCGCCATGGTCGTAGCACAGGAGCACCCCGCGATGACTGTGTCGTCTACGACCAGCTGCTCGCTGATGGCAAGGTCGGCCCTGGCCCTGCGGGGGCCCGAATACAGCGCACACAGCGCCTGTATCAACCCAGTGTTGAAATCGCAGCCCCGCGCCGCTTCGAGGAGCAGCCTGTGCCAGATCTGCTCGTAGAACTTGCTGATTTCGAAGTAGACCGATGCCGCCTCGAAGTTCTTCTCCCGCGCCAGCCCGAGCAGGAGGTTGTGGATGTAGGCCGCCCTGTCACAGCAAGTGTCCGAGTCTGCCCCCCCAAATTCGGGGAGCTTGTGGTCCTTCTCCCAGTCGGCGCAATACTTGCGCCTGATGCGGCTCCAGATGCGCATCCACATGCAGAGGAGCCCGATTGGGCGGCGGCCCCCGTCTGGCTTCCCCAGGAAGACGATAATCGTGGTGAGAAGCTCCGACTGCTGGGGGTGCCGCTCCCAGGCTGTCAAGATGTCCGCCAGCCTGTCAGCGCATTCCCTGCCTAGGCTGAGGATGAGCCTGGGGTGGAAGGCGTCCCACCCAAGCGCCGTCTTCCTGGGGAAGGTCCTGGCCGCTGCCGGCACCTCCTCGCCCGTGATGGCGCCTAGCCCCAACGGCTCGTCCCACTCCTCGGGGCGAACGCCGTCGGGGCCCTCCTTGTGCCAGAGCGCCTTCCACTCTTACAGGATCCTGTCTAGGGCCTGCTGGCCGACCAGCGGGACGGGAGGGGCCACTCCCTCTCCTGGGCCAAGGATGGAGCAGGTCTCCAGGTTGGCCTGCTTGCTGATCGCGTGGGCGCCCTTGCCGTTCCCACTGAGGGCCTCGGCCATGAACTCCTTCCAACGCTGCCTGGCGAGCTTCGCATCCTCCCTGCGCTTGACCTCCACGGCGGCGCTGATGGCCTGGAGAAAGGTGTCCCCCTGCTGCGTCCTGCCCAGGATCTCCGCCAGCATCGTCCCCATCTTGGCGCCGCTGAACATCTGGCAGCCCACAGCCTCGAACTTGGGGACCAGGCCGAGGGCGGCCGCCTGTAGCCGCTTGATATGCTTGTGGTGCCCAGGCGGTGGGTGGGGCACCGACGCCGCTGCCGCCAGCTGCGTGGCTAGGCGCCCCAAGGATACCCAACAGCGCGTTAGCGGGCTGGTCCTTCGCACTTCCTCCGAGCGCAGGAGGTGGATGAGCTGCTTGGGCGCCCTCTTGACCCCCTGCGCCCTGCCTTTGAACTTGGCGCCGTCCTTGATGCCGAAGCTGCGAATCAACCGCTCCTCCGCCAGGTCGAAGAACTCCATGATCGCCTTGTTTGGGCTCCCACTCTCGTCCAGGAGCGGTGCCTTCCAGTCCGTCAGCGAGTCCTCCTCCTCTGGCTCGGGCTGGGTCCCTTCCTGCTTGGCCGCAGGCAGCTCAAAGGGCTTGGGGCCCTTCTGCACCCAGACGTCACCGCGGCCCGGTGACGTCGGAGCCACCTTCCTAGAGCTGGCCCTGGACTACATGTACGCGACACATGTGGTTCCGCAGGAGGCGAATGCAGCAGCAGTCCCGAAGGCGCACCGGTTGCAGGAATACTTTGCGTCTGTCTCCCGCCGCCTGGCGCAGATCTGCCGCTCAACGCGCCTTCTTGCACGCCTCGAGCCAGGCGGCTGGAAGGCCCCGTCGCGGAGGGTGCTGGCGGCGCGGCGTCTGGAGCTCCCAGACCTCCACGGAGTCCCAGTCCGCACCCGATTGCTATGCCCACAGCATGTGGCTACGGCTATGCTGCATATTGCTCGGCTGAACGGCAGCAACCGCACCCAGCCCAAGCAGATGCCAC